TTTTATTTGACTTTTTATATGAACATGTTTCTGCTTCTTTCACATAAACAGCAAACTCAGCCGAGCTTAACTGTAACGTTTTATGTGTTTGAACGATTTGTCACAACGGATTAAAGAACTGATTGAAAAATCGAGTCCCTTACCAGCTATTAGCTAGCTAGCTCAAGTGCCGCGGTTTGAACTAGTGTGTAGTCTTTAATGTTGGTGGGCTCCTGCTAGACGTTTTAACATTTAAAATGTATTGCTGATCCAGCTGCTGCACAGCTGCCTCCTAACCAGCAGGTGGCAGTGTGTCCCAATAAGTGGCCCACACAAAGGCCACAAAGAGTACTTCTTCTGTTCTCAGAAAATCTTGGACTTCTGCTTGTCGGATAATGCCACAAGCATGCGCTCGTTTGTGGCCACACAGATCCTCACTCGTCCTGAAATAGTCTTGTGTGCTGCGGAGGTGTGATGACCTTTACTGACCTTGACTTGTGTAATGCAGTGATGCTCCATGTTTGTTTGTGTCCGTCTCTTCTGTTTCCTGTTTCATCTGACTGCACTGGTAAAAGTGAATAAACATGTTTTCCAGTGTGGAGCCTCTGTGAGCCTTTCATACAGTCCAGATGCACACAGTCGCTGTGGCATTCAGGTGGGGCTAAATCAATGAACTGAACTGAGAAACTGTGCGTTATGCAACAGTGTGCTGAGTTGACAGGTTGAGGCTTCAGTGAGCAGGATTTTTATAACTAATTTGGTATTTTCTCATATACCTCCAGGTCCATGTAGTTAGTTTTAGCTCTAAAATTCCTACAAAGGTTTGTTAACAGCTGTGCAGCTGTGACCCTTCACATCACACAAGACTTGTGACTCAGCTGGTCGAGCGGCTTGTCTACCAATTAGAAAGAAAGCAGATTGATCGCGGGCTCCTGTACTCTTCAGGCTGCATGCCAAAGTGTCTTTTGGGCAAGATGCAGAAGCCCGAGTTGCTCCTGATGCATCCATTGGAGTGAGTGTGTGAACGTGAAAGTGCTGTATGAATACTGTATTTTTCGCACTATACGGCGCACTTAAAATTAAATTTTCTCAAAAATATACAGCTTACAATCCGGTGCGCCTTATGTTTGAATTCTGGTTGTGCTTACTGACCTCAAAACGATTTTATGTGGTACACAGCGCTCAAAAATCTGTCAAAAAATGTTTTAGTGCGACTTTGGTAATCTACGAAGCCACATCGCTTGATGGATTGTTGGAGCATTATGGCTACTGTAGTCAGGAGCCTCGCGGAGTAATCTGGGTCCAAAACGCCGTCCGCTTCAGGTCCCAAAATCAAACGATCACTGCGGCATCACTGAGTTAAAAACTGTCTAAATTCTTTCATCTTTAATAAAATGATCAGCGTTGCTGCTTTACCAGGTGTAACGATTAAGTTTAATATCCAGGCAGAATGTATTAAATTTAACTGAGTTAGAAGTCAGCAGGAAGTTAGCTCACTTGTTTCCACCTAAACATGCTATATCATGTTTAGGTGGAAAATAAATCAAGGCACTAAAAGGCATCATTCCCATCATTGAAAACTTAGAAATCGGTTTCTATGACAGGTAAGCAGTTTATAAGTACCGTAGTAAGGTTTAAAACTACTTAAAAAGACACACAGACTCAAAGTAACTGGCAAAAGTGTCTATTTCGAGTCACTTTTGCCAGGTGTTCTGGGAATCCATCCTACCCATTGTTTCTACACATGCGCACAACATGAAATTAAGTGCCAAACCGTCTTACCTTTGTAAATGTGACGTACAAGCATACTTTAACAGCTATAATTAAGTGGCAAATCATCCTACCTTTGTGAATATGAGCTAGAAACATACTCTGACGGGTAACATTACGTGCCAAACCATGCTACCTTTGAGAATGTGACCTACAAGCATACTTTAACGGGTAAAATGAAGTGGCAAACCGTCCTGGCTTTATGAATGTGGGCTACAAGCATACTCAGATGGGCAAAGTTAAGTGGCAAACCGTCATACCTACTTACATTTGTGCTGGAGTTACCCTGTGACAGCAGAAATGTGCATAAACCACTTATGGTAGGACGTTTTGTCAGAACACCGGTCAAGTCCACAAAGGGGGAGGGTCAGAATTGTGACATT